GCATTTTTAACCCAAGTAACCAAATGCGAACTCTCAATTGGAAAATGCGAACCCGATTCATCAGACAAGTGTGTAAATCAAAAATAATTTTGAATAATTGCTGAAACTCATCCAAATGCGAACTCATGTTTTTGTTCTGAATACAGTTCGCATAATCATCCATGTTTTTTAATAATTTTGAAATCACAAATGCGAACTCGACATTGAATCACTCATATGCGAATTCAATTGATTTCATATGCGAATCCAACTGAACAACAGAATCAATCCATAGATGCAAACTCAGGTTATATATTTTCGCAAAATCGACATGAACGACTCCAAAATCTTTCCAGGTCATTTTTAATCAATGAACACGACTCCAAAATTGAAATCTATTTCTCAATCCAAATCACAGATTTCGTTTTTATATAACCCAATGCTTCCCAATCTTGTAGATGCAAATGAACACACATACACATACAAGCAAGAAATCGACTTTTATGATTCGAAATCAAAATCATATTTCATCAACTGTTGTTCATCAATCGTTCAAACCTTCGACTTCATAACCATTGAAACACAAAAATCGATACACAAACCATTGATTCCAAACCCAATTTAACTTTCAACTTCAAGCTCGATTTTTCAAGAACACTGATCTAGCGAACTAGCAACCAACACCAAACGTCAACATCAACAATCGATAACTATTTGTTAATCGATCGTGCTTTGACTTTCAGTTTTAACTCATCAACATTCGCATATAAGAACAACGATTTAGAATTTGATTTTGATTATCAATTTGACTCGATATTCAAACGATTTCAAAATAAAACCAGTCAAAATCAAATTCAGCTTCTATTACTCACAAATTCCGGTCAAAATCGATTTTAAACAAAGATTATGATTCGATAGAAGAGATGATTAATTCCCAGTGAAAGAAAATGAGACACATGAACTCGATCTAGAAGAAAGCCATTGAGGTACAAACCTTTAAAGCGTATGATAAAGTCAACATAATTTGTGTCTATTATGTATCGAAAGGTATTTATCATTTATTGATCTTAATATTGAATTCAGAAACAATTTTATTTTGGACCGATCAAAATGATGAACAGTGAAAAGATCATAAAATTGGGCTCAAAACTTGATCGATGAACAGTAATGATTCAAGATATTAGATTATAAAATGAATTTTGATTTTAAATCTCAATTCAAAAGAACCTTTGCAATTTGAAAATCAAATCAGACAAACAAATAAGATTGGATCGGGCTTGATCAAAGAAAAATTTATTGGATCAACAATGGGGTTTTTCAAGAAAAATTTGATCCAATGAGTCAAATGATCACAAAACAAAAACGCAACGCACGAATCAAATATTACGAGAGATCATAGAGAGAGACTCACCAAAATTATTCAAATTGCGACAAATGTTGCCAAACCGAGAATCGTTCTTCAAATATCACATTGATCTTGAAGACCCGCTCTGATACCAATTGTAGTGACAAAGAACATGGTTTGACATGCGGAATTAAAGCTTGTACAATTGAACATGGTGATTTGGGTGTTTAAGTGATATATTGAATGTATATGGTGTTACAAAAAGGATCTAGATCTAGACTACATAATTAACACACACTTACACACTCACTTCTACATCTCTCAAGCACACCTCTACAAGTGGACAAACCCACCTTATATAGAGGTGTTTACATGTCTCTCTCTCACTCTCACTAACAAATGGGTCTAAAGGCTAAAGCACCACATGCAAGTGGATTTTACAAAAGTCAAACATTTACAAAGTCATGAATGAATAACTTTACAACCCCAAAAGGCGTAAGTTGAGTATGTTGGGCGTAAGTTAAGTACGCATGACATACTCAACCAGCCTTGGACTTTAACTTTTGTTGACTTTCGTTGACTTTTTGATAAAGTTTGACTTTGGGTTAAACTTGAGGATTTTGGACTATTGATTAAGAATATATCTGGTTTTAGTGATAGTGGATTCGTGGGAGCCAACAGTGCAGAAGAGAGCGTATCACAGTGTTTCAAGGTTCTTCGATTCTGGTTTTATCGGTGCTCGTAGGAAGGCAAAGGCGCGACTGTACACACTCATCAAAACATTCAGGATTTCACATTTCTTATATTACTCTGATTTTCAATAAATGTATTTCAGAATAAACAATTTTCTTAATAATGGATTTATGATTGGGAAGTTTTACCGTAATAAAATGAAAATTTTTGGTTATGAGAATGGGACGTTACAGATTAAACCAACTCTAGAAACATTATAGGGCTACAATGTCATTTTCTGATTAAATTATGTAAAGAGAAGTAAATAATCAAAAGCCAGATTAAAATATTAAGCAACTTATTGAGCTATTAGAGATTCAATTAGGGAAAGAAAATTTATTTGTTGGAAAAAGTGTCAAAGGTCATTAATTATAGGTAATATTTTCTAATAATAACAGGGTCTTTTTGGTTTGCCCTTATGACCCAATTGAATAAAAAGAAATAAGAGAAAATAAGTTTGTTAATTTATTATAGTTTAATAATTAAATTATAAATTATTATGAATTAATTAAATAGTTTTAATTAATTAAATGGTTGAATATTAATTAGTTAAATGTTAACTGACTGGAATGGAGAAATTTGAAAATCACTCCATCCCACAAGGGATGGGAGATGAAACACAAAATTCACTCCATCCAACATGGGATAGGGGATGGAACTAATGTAAGGATCCATGTTGTAAATAGGGTGGTTGGGATTTTCATTCTCCTTGAACTTTGGCTTGATTTTTCGCTGTCCTTCTTCCTCTCCTTTCTTAGTGGATGGTTTCTTACCCTCGTAGGGTTTGTGAAATTGACCCTTATCCTAGTTTATTGTTTGGTACTCTCTTGGAGAGTTAGGTGTGAAACGAAAGGGGTTTCTACTACCTCTTCATCCGAAGCAAAGGTGGTTGTGATCAAATCTTAGTTGAGGAGTCTTCCAAAAGATCAAGAAGATCAATAACACCAAGAGGTTTGTAATTCTATTGTTATTTTCATAAGTAGGTTGCTATAATAGAATAAACCTAGATCCTTTAGGGTGTATGTACACATAGAATTTTATATTGCTTACGTTGCCATAACTAGTGTGTATAGAATGCTAGAAAACCTATCATTATTGTTTTTAACTTAATTAGAAATATAAGCGTATTTTGGTTCTAACTAAAAGTTGCATATAAAGGTGTTTGTTTCTGTTTAATTAAGTTAGGATTCCTTTCCGATTAGTATACACTAGAATAAACTATATAATTTGCATATTGTAAAAAAAATTTATTGTCATTGTTACAAATAAAATCTAGACTTATGTTTTTAATTTTCTTACCATGATTTTATAGATTGAAATTTGATTTTTGGAAGCATAAGGAAGGTAAGCTTGAATTTTAATCAAATGAGGATACTTCCAAGTGGTGTTGTGATTTTTGTGGGCCTTTTTATGTCATCGCCCCTCTTCCTATTTTTTGTATATGTGTGATGTTCTCTCTATTTTAAATATCTTCAATTTTCAATTCAGGTTAGGTCGGGTCCGAAACCACATATCCTTAAAGATCACACTTACTAGTAGACATAACCAAAAATGAGGTATTTAATCGTGTTTTCAATTCTCTATTTTCCACTAAATTGGTTCTTGGTTCTTCGATTCAGTTAAGTATGAGTTTGGACCGATGTCATCCCTAATTAGATCCAACGAATCGTCTTAATGACGACATATATAATTAATTGACAACTTTCTTTTATATTCAAAATTTTATTTAAATTTTAGTAAATATTATATATAAATTAAATATCTAACTATTATTTGCTTGATGTTACAAAATAACCATCAATAA